ACTGCAAATTATATAATCAATCTGATTTCGGTGTTGCCCATCTGGTGATGTCCATGTGTAGAGTTGCCTCTTAGGTTGTTGGAAGAGGGTGTTCGCTATGACCAGCATGTTCTCTTGACAAAACTCTGTTAGCCTTTGCCTGGCTTCATTTTCTTCTCCAAGGCAGAACTTGTCCGTTATCCCAGTTACCTTCTGACTTCCTGCTTTAGCATTCCAGTCCCCTATGATGAGGAGGACATCTTCTTTTGGTGTTAGTTCTAGGAGGTGTTGTAGGTCTTCATAGAACCGGTCCACTTCAGCCTCTTCTGCACCAGTGGTTGGGGCATAGACTTGAATTACTGTGATGTTGAATGGTTTGCCTTGGATTCGGACTGAGATCATTCTGTCATTTTTGATATTGTATCCCATTACTGCCTTTCACACTTTCTTGTTGACTATAAAGGCCACACCATGTTTTCTACGGGATTCTTGGCCACAATAGTAGATATAATGGTCATCTGAGTTAAATACACCCATTCCTGTCCACTTTAGTTCACTGATTCCCAAGATGTCGATGTTCAGTCTTGCCATCTCATTTTTGACCACGTCAACCTTACCTTGATTCATAGATCTTACATTCCAGGTTCCTGTGCAGTATTGCTCTTTGCAGCATTGGACTTTCCTTTCACCATCAGACATATCCACAGCTGAACATCCTTTCGGCTTTAGCCCAGCTGCTTTACTCTTTCTGGGGTTACTTGTACTTGCCCTCTGCTCTTCCCCAGTAGCATATTGGACAACTTCTCACCTGAGGGGCTCATCTTCCGGCATCATATCTTGTAGCCTTTTGTTACTGTCCATGGGGTTTTCTTGGCAAAGATACTGGAGTGGGTTGCCATTTCCTTCTCCAGTGGATCACACTTGGTCTGAGTTCTCTGCTGTGGCCTGTCCATCCTGGGTGGCCCTCCACGGCATAGCCCACAGCCTCATTGAACCATGCAAGCCCCCTCGACACGTCAAGGCAGTGATCCATGAGGGAACACTATTGTAATAAGCTACAGCAATTCAACAATTTCTGATTTTAAGCTACAGCAATATGTCAGAAAGGTTTGCTGTTTTACACACACAAACACACACACACACGACAGTGCATGGGCTTAAGCATCAAATGAACTGGTGACCTTTGCATCAAGTGAAAAAATTGAAATAATCCATAACAAACATCCATACCGTGTAAACACGCTGAGCGATAGGCTTAATGTTGACCTCATGCCAGTCAATCTCCGAAACATCATGCTGGTCCAGAAAGTAGCCCAGAATCGTTGTGCCTCCTTTGCATCTTGGAGGCTTCCAGCCAATGGTCATATTGTCCTTCCCACAATTCAGCAGGGCAAAACCACGTGGGGGTGATGGGCAGGCTGCATGCAACAGAATGGAAATTAAAGCACAAAGACAGGTGGGAATCGAATTGGCAACCAGTCTCTCTCTCTCTCTCCCCCCTTCATGGAGGGGGCTGACACACCACGGGATACTTACAAATGGCCTGCCTAACCACGATGGCATCGGATTCTGGGGAGCTGTCCCCCACGCCTGCTTCGTTGACAGCTTTCACACAGAAGACATACTCCTTGCCAGTTTTGAGCCCTGGAACAGTGAACCTAAACAAAAATAAACAACCAAAAAAGCCCCCACTCCTATTATTCCTTAGCTCCTTCTGGTCACCATACAGGAACAGAAAGTAAATAAATTTACAGATATCAGGCCCCAGATATGCATGACGTTTTCCCTTGGGGGATCTGCTCTTGTCAGTTTGAAAGAGGCCTTCTGGAGTTCCACGCTTCCCAGCCAGGCACATACAGGCCTGATTTAGAAAGGAAGCATGGCACACAGGGAGAGGGAGCCTAGGCCTTCCCCCTTCCATACTATGTGCCCCAAGGAGCCACTATTTGCCCCAAATGGGGGCTCCATGTATACTGCTGGCCTACATTTTACGTTTCCCCAATTGGGCAACCAGGTCATTTCAGGACAGGAAAATGCTTCTACCTTTAAGGGCTTGTCATGGATCCTCTCAACAACTCTGGGGTTTTCATCTTGGGGGGGGAGTGTTGAGGGTTCAATATGACAGACCTCTTATAAAACTACAGTTCCCAGGATTCCACGAGGAGAGGGGATGACTATCCAAACCAATCTGCGATGCAGACATGCCTACTGAGTTGTTGTGAGGACTGTCAGTTACATCACATTTTGCAAAATGGACTTCTGTGAATCAAAAGGCAATGCGATTATTTGCTTAATTCTCCCACCCTGTTCCCAGGACCTGTTTCATAATCACAGAGCTGGTGGGGCTCAGTCCTTTAAAATAGGCTCCTGCTCATACCAGGTTTCCTGCAGAGGAAGAGAGCAAAATCGAAGGAGGAGGATGGGATGGCTGAATGAACTCACTCATGACACTGGAGGGGTTTGTTATTCACAGTTTCCCACTCCTCTGTCCCAACCTCCCGGGAATATATGTAATAGCCAAGAGGTTGCTCTTGGCCCTCCTTTGGCTTGCTCCAGTGAACGACAACGGATGTCCTGGTGTCTCGGAAGGTCAGAACCTGAGATGGAGGTGGCAGAGGAGCTACAGAAAAGAAAAATAACAGGGTGCTGTAAGAACAATCTTTTACAGTTTCTTCCAAGTTGAGGCCCTGATGTGTTGCCAGTCAGCAGGGCTTTTTTTGTAGAAAAAGCCCAGCAGGAACTTATTAGCATAATAGGCAACACCCAACAGCAGAAACTCAGTAGCATATTAGGCCACACCCCTGGCAACACAGCTCATTAGCACATTAGGCCGCACCCCCATGTTACCAGAAGTGTG